ATTTCATTAACAAGATCAGTAAGGAACATACCTTGTGCACCAAAAATCTCTACCCTTGTGACGAATTTGGCACTACATTAAAAACATTTTTTTTTAAAAAGTTTAAACTAAAACTTTCAAAAAGAAAATACATAAACAGCTAAAACCTAATTTTTGCTACCCATGTTCCCCTGTATTAAGCTCAACAATTTTAAGACTGTCCTGACAATTAAGAAAACTCTGCCTTCTTGAATAGTAGTTCAGTTTCAGAAAACATTGTGAAAACTAAGGTTCATAGTTTCTCAGCTGTACTTTTTACTTAAACTATCAAAATGTTAGAGTGGTGTCTCCTGAAACCACGGGAAAGCAGCTGCCTCCACACACTGTCGAGACTTTATTAAGCTGTTTTATAGTGAAGAGAACACAGAAGAAACCCTCATACTAACATGTTCAGATCCTGCAACAGGACTTACCTATAAATGAAGCGTTTTTGAATTTGAAATACAGAATAAACACCGTACAGAAAGACATTTTTAAAAAATTTAAAATTAAACACAACTGAAAGTGTATTTCTCTTGTGTAAAAAAATTTCCATTTTGTACAGTGTTTTTAGTTTTCAGCATTATTTTAATTACTCTTTTTAACATACAAAAATAAACCTAAGGTACAGGCTGAAAACTTTTTTTTTTCTGTTTACATATTAGCAAACGAAATTAAGTTTTAAATTCTCTGCAGGTAATAACACTTAATGATATATCTACAAATTTCAACTGTCCACACTCCAATTTCTGGTGAGAAACCTACATCTCTCTGAACTAAGCACCTAATGATTTACATTTTTTAGCCATTCACAGATCTCAGCATTTGTGTTACTAAGCCCAACTGTCACTTTTTAAATTATGGTAACACCAAAGGCAATAACTGATTGCTATAAAACTGAAAAGTACCACCAAGCAGCATGCAGGACCCATAATATGCTCCAGTTTGCCAGTCATTGCTCAGAATTCATATCTTTTAAGATTATTTGTTTCATAATTATAATGTAATCTTCACAGTAACATTTACAAAATTCAAGACGATTATCTGGGTTTTTCCTCTAAGTGAATAGCTATCAAAATTAGAATACATGAACTTTAACCTTGTTTCATTACAAATTAACGACGACTGTGATGCAGAGATGCTTCAGACCTAAAGCAGAAGATGCATGTGTCATTATGCACAGCTTGCAATGTTCATACACGTGAATGAAAAAAATAACACAGGAATAAGGTGTCAGTTAAGAAATAGACAGCAATTTGTATTGCACAAGGCAGCCTTTACTTTTTCCTCTTCCTTAAATCTAAAAATCACAGAAATCCCCAACTCTAGTAACTCTTAAAAAATACCAGCACATGCTAAGGCGAACACAGAGAATCTTCTTGTAACAAACAGATGTGCAGAGTTTCAAAGTAATTTCAGGTATTGCCTTAGATGTAACTGGTCCAGAGAACATTAGCAAGCAATGCAAAGTATGCTACAGACTACAGAATCTAGCCTCCTTGAATCAGAGTAAACACACGTTAAGTGGCCACAGCTCACTTCAGAATCCAAGCTGTGCATAGGTTGCTCTCGTTAGCCAGCTAATGTACAGCTAGTTCAGATGTATTTATCTGAAACTAGCATCAAAAAAATTCGCATAAAAAAAATCAGGTGACTAATGAGCAGGCAGAACCCACATCTCACCGATTTTTCTCAGATATTCTTCAGATGTTTCTAGTTTCCAACTGAAGGGCTTTTTTCCCTTCTTGGCTCTTATTCTGAAAATATGAAGAACAATATTCTTTACATACCATACTATGACTGCACACAAAATTTCATCCCTCACACCTGTGTAAATCTATATTGAATTACATCGATTTACACAAGTCATAGCCACTTCTATTTTAAGCTTGGAATCATTTCATTCATCAGCAGCTGTCTTGCTACCACCTTCTCTCAGAACACAAAGAAAAATCCTATCTGCTATCCAGATAAGTAACTGTGGTCACTGATGGAAGCTTATACAGATGGCCTTTACATGGTCTTAGCAAAACAACACTGTTATCATCACTTTTTTGAGCAATTATGAGTCGCAACATTTTCAAATAAAGGCCGATTCAAATGAAATCACATTTAATACAGCTGTCATCAACTATGTTGTTCTTAAAACCTCCACTTAATGTAATCTCATTGATACAGCACAAAAGCAAACAACCCGACATGGCCAGCTCAGCATGCAAACCTGTTAACAACAAAGGCCAAGGACTTCCAGCAGAAGATTGACACATTTAATGGATGATGCACACAATCCTGTTGGTGCAAGCAGGAACTTTCTTACTGTGCTGCACTACACGTTTAAAAATAAGCTTCCCTTTGCTGTGATAGGTATTTTACAGAATAACAGTTCTCTAGTAGTGGCTTTTTAGGAAGAAGGGAACAGTAAAACATCTAATATGAATAGACACAACTTAAGTACCTCACAGATCTGCACAGTATTTACAAAGTAAAACTAGAAAATACAGAATTTGTAAAAAAATATGACTTGAGGTGGGGAGGAAATGCATGTGTTTGATGGTTGGCTGTTTCACATGGGGTTTTTTTTCCCCTTTTTTAGAAAAAGACAATTTTTTGTAAGGGAATCATTAATTCACACACAATATTAAGAACGTGCTGCATATGGCCTTGCACACACACGGCCATCCTTAACTATTCATTTCCAAAAGCATGTTTCACAGCTAACCGTACAAAATCATTTACGCATTCTTACCATAACATAACTGATGTATAATAGAGCTATGCAATTTCAGGATAACAAAACTCAAGAAATCAAACTAGTATTGACTGAAACATGACTCACTGCAAAAACTATAGTTCCTATCAAAGGAGAAACTTAGGCTTTAAAAGATGTTCTAAATACTACACGTGCATTTTCACTGTTATTCACTGTTGAAATCAAAGAAGCTTCATGAATAAGACTAGATCAGCTAAAAATATACCTTTAATAAGTATGTACCGGCAGAACTTCCCTCTAAAATACTTAATTTTATTAGTGAAATGGTACCAAAGATAACAAGAATACAATCAATCGCTTTGCTCTATGCTACTTACACCATAAATAAGACAGCTGTTGTTGAAAGATGCAATCCTTCACAGTCTTCCTGTAAGCATACAGATTTGTCATTCTTTTATCAGAATAAGCTGTTTACTGGCCAACAGCGTGTGGCTTAAACATCACAAAAATGACCGTCTATACTTTACATGGTAAAGCATTTTCTATAGTCTTAAATGTACACAGTGGCAAGAATATTAAATCTTATCAGAAATGAAGAGTGATTAAGCAGCTCACAATCAAACTGGGCTTCATTACCTTAGTAACTGGGCAAATTTTTTTTTTACTCCCTGTAATAAGCTTACTATTCTATTATTTTAAAAGAATTAACTATGCAAAGGAAAGGAAAAACAAATTGAAAGAAAATAGCTAATAAGCTATCAAGTTTGTACTTTAACTGAAAGAACTAACTGTTCCCATGAGGTAAGGCAGTTAAGTCATTTGATTGTATTAAATTGTATTAAAAATAATCTACTCAATTTTAGGTACAATTAAGTTTTATAGGTATGACTTGTGAGAAATCTCATGTAACCAATTAAACTGGTTCAGAGAACAAGCCATGTTTCACCTTGACAAAAATATCTGTTTTGTTGTTCTCTTCTTACACGCTTTTTCCCCAAAGAATGAAAAAAGAATCTCAACCACATCATTCCTGTGTAAATTACAACTTTTTTCCCCAATATTTTATCCCCTCCTTCTTTGCACACAACTCCTTTCATATCACCCAACAGGTATCAGAGAAGATGACAGAGAAGTAACAATTAAGGCCACCCAAATGTAATTAAATGCCTAAAGGGCTGTCTTTGATGCCGGTGATCAGAAAAGCCTTGGTATTTAGCTACTACTTTTGAACAGTGGTGGTCCCCAAACTGCATCTTTGCTTTCACCTATAAATCACTTCTAAAAAAAATATGTAAAAATGGAGCTTTAGTATTTTAACAAGTGAATCAAAAAACCGTTCTGACAAATCACTTGCATTCTTGTCTACAGTATGGTGGTGGCAAAACAGCAATAGAGATCATGTAAATTTTAGCTAGAAATGAGTAATAGCACACACACATTTCCAAAAAATACCACATTTTAAAAAGGCACTAAAGCTTCTGCTTGTGCTCCCATATTTCTTAAAACAAGTAAGAAAAATTTTGATTTCATAATGGCACCTGTACTATTCGCAGCTGAACAGACACACTGCAGTACGGCTCAAAACAAAGTTGTAAGTTCTGATAATATCATATACAGATGTGCTCAGTTCTGGAAGAAGAAAAACAAAACAATCCCCAAAATAACACATTACGCTAACCTATTGTCTATAATATGGCAATGTTCCTTTTAGAAACAGAAAAGTAGCATGCACTGTTCAAATATTTTAAAAGAAATATTAATTTTAGGGATATTAGTAAGAAATTACTTTAAATAATAAAGCCAATTTCTAAGAACATCAAACAGTACACATGGATTTTTTTGTGCATTTTTAACCCAGAGGTTAAAACAAGACAAAATTCATTTACGAGTAGTATTTTTAACAACCTTCAACACATATCTTCAGCTTTTTTTGGGGTAGTACAGGTTTACATCTTTCAGTTTCTACTTATTTTTAACAGCTTATGGCAAAACTTAACATAAATCATCTTAAAAATAAGTACAGCCATCATGGAAATGTGTGGATTTTCAGAGATGAATTGTTCTGATGGCATCTGCCTTTTGATGGTGTAACTACTGGTCCGTGCTTTCCTGCTTTACAGCAAGAAGACAACAAATCTATCACAAGAATTGGAAGAGCTACTAATACTATCAACACATTCAGGTTGATTGCTTTGACATTTTCTTCCTCATTTTGGGAAATAAAAAGCTTTGGATTTCATTCCTTAGTTGAATCAGAAGTCCATTCTTTGCTTTAAACCCCTTCCATTTTAATGGAGAGGTTTTCTTCATTTGGTTGACAGTTCCCATTCTGTTGTAGTTTGACTTCATCTGTCCTTTGTGTATCTCTGGTGTCTACTTCCTTGTCAGTTTCTGAATTCTGATCCTCTTTAGTGTGATCTTTGTCCTACCAAAGATAAAATTATTCAAAAAAAATCATGATCTTAGCATTATAGCATGTGGCTTCTAAATAACTCTTGGTATTTTTATTGTCTCAGTTTTGACATTTTAGAATAGAGCTGCCAGCTTCTTTTCCTTTCTTTAAAAAAAAAATTTTTCTTTTCAATTAGCTGAAGTAAGGCATTCATAACAACCCATCATCCAAGAAATCATTAGCAGAAATTGATCTGCCTTTACTACAGATATTCAGAAAAAAATCATTAACAAGTAGCATTATGGAACCTAAGAGAAACAGCTCTAGAAATCAAGATTTCACCATATTTTCTAAATAAAATAGGATTAAATTTTTTCCTTCATATTTTTGTGAGGTATTTGATGACTTTTAAGAGAGTTCTTGGGTAAGATGGTTACTCAAGCATGGGGATAGAGCCACCTAACCAGCTGTTTTATAGCAGTTGCGTAATACTGAGTATGGCAAACTACTCTTTAAAGGCATGCTGCTTTTCAAATTCTAAGATTAAACAATTTAATGATTATTTTTCCTTAATCACACCACCTTCTATTTTGCGGGGGAAAATCCCTTTACTTCACTTCACTCTTGCAAGAGTCCAATACACAGATCAGGACCAAAGACATCAGGGATGGGCTGAACTGCAGAGTGAAAGTTTATTAAAAAGTAACCTTTTCAGCCTTCCGAACACTGCTCTTCAGTTGCATAGTCTGCTTCCTGCCTGCTCATATGGAGAGGCAGCCAGCCAAGTCCATCTCAAATATTCGCATAGAACAAGGCACAGAAACCAAAATAAACTGCTCCTTTAACCTATTCACACAAGATCCTATAGGTCCAGTAAAGTTCAAACATGAAGACTTACCAAACTGTCCCACTAACACCAACTGTAGGTGTCCAGCTGGCAAAAGCTAAACTCAGATGTTTATAAATTGGTAAGGAGAACAGGGAAAAAAGCAGGGAAGAGGAAGAGAAAGAAAAGGGAGGGAATTTCAATAACAGCTCCACTAGAAACACTTCACTCTGCTTATCACGTGGTCATAGAGCTTACCTTCAAAGTAGTGGTGTTTCTGTCAGATTTCTCCTTTCCCTCTTTTTCTTTGCTGCTTTTTTTCTTGGAGGTGGAGCGTTCTCTTTCTCTTCTTTCGTTATTTGTATCTCTATCTCTTTTTTTTTCTTTCTTGTTTCTGTTTAAGGAAATTTTTAGTCAAATCAGAATTTGATCCAACAGCAACAACCTTCTAACCATTTGACTGCAAATTAAACTCTCGTCTGTGGGTTTTCAAAAAAACTCCAAATGTAAAACCCCCTTTCATAAAGACATGGTGATTTTTTGACTGACAAGAGCTAAAGAATCAATGTGTTCAGTATGCATAGTACTCACAAAAAGAAAAAAAAACAAATTAATTTGTTTTTGATGGAGGGCTTTTACTGATTTGAGGCAAATTTGCATTGCTGATGGACTTGAAATTCTCTTTTTGAAAGCATATTGAAGCTCAAATCTATGAGAGATTTGTTTTGAATTAAAACTGAATCATACCGACCAGATGAAATCACCTGAGGTGATTAATGCAAAGGCAGTAAATTCTTCATCTTCTACTGCTCATTAATGTTTACGCTGACATTAAACTGACCTTCTTGGAGAAGGAGTTCGTGAAGACTTCCTTTTTGTTGTTTTGGATGTTTTAGGAGACTTAGAGGAACTTCTACTCTTCCTTTTACGTCGTTCTCTATGGGACCAAGAAAATGAAGATCATCAAAGAACAAAAATAATAAACTCAGGACCAGGCTGAAATCTCTTAAAACGATTTGACACAGTAACTAAGCAAATATCCCTGCATTTAACATTATTTATGATGAACAATATGTGAACTATACAAAGCACAGACAAAAAAAATCCGTTATATTTTCAGTTTGGTGGGAAAGGGGAGGCTGGAAGTGTGAAAAAAAGATGCCTTTTCAGATTTTAGTTTTTTGTTTATCCTCACATGCTTCCACGTAATACCTGGTAACAGTAGAAACAATGAATTCACTAAACCTGCATTAAGAATTGCTTCAGTTAGGAGAAGAATACAACTGAATAAAAAGCCACATTAAAACAAAAGGCCTAACTTGAACAATATTAACTTCAAAATGTATCATTACAACCTGAAGATCATTGTAACTTCAATTCAGTCTGACTAAAGTTTAATTCCCAAGTACACGAGTTAGCATTCCCATTGGTTTAGAAGTAAAAGCGGTGCAACATAAAGCTCAATATAAAGCTGTTGTCAAAATCAGACAAAAAAGTTAGCATTCTGTAACACACTGCAGAACTTGTACTATTTTACAAAATAGCCATTCACATAGATATATGGGGTTTGCCAAAACTGCTATTATGAAGTCTGACCTTGAATAGAACAAATTATTAAATATCTGGTTGCAAATACACTGAGGCACAAGTTAAAATAAAGCAAAAATTGACACAGTAAGGCTTCATGTAATATAAAAAAAGAACCCATATCTGTCAAAGGAAGATGACTTTTTCCTATCATCTCTTCACTGAGAAGGAAAAGCATACAGGAAGAACCATCAAAGAAAAACAGTGAAGTTAAAAATTAATTGAGAGGACACTTCAGGCTATAGCATAAAGGCTACATTTACGGATACCAGCTTTTGCAATTCACACCATTAAGTGTATTTAAATTTTCAATACATAGAAAGGCCAAGAAATCAACACCTATTAAATAAATTACAAAAGAGTATATTAAGGTATGCAAAGTATCAGTATCTGGATTGATACACTGACAATATCATCCGCTGTGACCTCCTGAAGATGCACGGGACAGCACTAGTAAACGTGTTTCATTCTGAACACCTTCACATTTATTACCACCTTTTTTCAAATGAGGATATTGGAAATTGTTTATTACTCTCACAGTGCTACATTAAGTACATCTCCATTTCGTTTTGCTTTCCAGTACACGTATCTGTGAGTAACCAGGTGCTTTAGTACTTGTGTTCAAACAAGAAACAGTTTATTAATGAAATTTAATTTTCAGTTTCTGCTTTTCATACTTCTAGTTGAAGAATTCCAGCTCTGACAGTATTTGTTCCCATCTCTTCTGTATTTGTCTATACAAAGATTTTTGCTCTTAAGCAATACTAACACAGCAAAATGTAGGAAAAATCAAATCTGAATACTTTGCTAGTGATCCTGTGCCTCTTAGTCATTCACAGAACTAACACTTTGTATCCATCTTCTCTGCTAGCCTGTAGATGTCTGTTGGAAAATGAGCCAGATCCCCTCTTCCTCTGCTCTGCGTCTCCTCCTTGAAGGAGAAATAAGAAATCACCATGTGATTTCTAGTACTTATATGCTGTCTGTCAGGACCTGGCCTTTCTCTTTGTTCAGCTCCATGAGATACCGGACAGCCCATCTTGCTGTCTGTCACGGTTTCTCTGAATGTCACACTCCTCTGGTGTACTACCAGGCTCTCCCTCTAGTTCTGTATTGTCTGCAAACTTGTCAAGGGTGCACTCTGTCCCACACTCTAGGCCACCGATGAAAGTGTTCAGCAGTACTGGCCCTAGTGCAGACACTCTAAGGATAATGCTCTACCTGAAGAAAGAATTGTATCCGTGTAAAAAAAGTGTCTTTCTCTCATTCTTCACCTTCCAAAGGATGTTGTCCTTTTTAGTAACATCTGTATCAAAAAAAAATTAACTTCCTATCAAAATAGAGGTTTGTACTGTCAGACCACTAGAAGGGATGCACTAACTTTCACTAGAATTCTTACCCAGGTACAAGGCCTTGGAGCCTTCAGTGGAACTTAAAAACTAAGATTCTTAAAGGGAAGCGTAACTGTTGCAAACTAGAGTATGAATTTTTAATTACAATTGCTATTTGACATTAGTAACTGGATCTTCCACCAAGATTCTTAGGTACATATTGTCAAAATCTTAAATCTCTTTTCTATATTTCTCTAATTCAACACTCCTGAGGCCTACAGACATAAAATGTTATGCTTTCAAAGCCAGCAGAGCTAGCTCAACTCTGTGTAGGTATTCAACTCCTGAAATAATGTAAAAAATGCGTTAAAACATGAGCAAATTCCTCTTTTAAGTAGCCACAGTAATCTGTCCATAAATCTCCAAAACAACATGGACATTTCACATAATGCAAAAAGAATGTTCAGAAGGCATCATACCCTTTTCTGCCTTGTACAAACCATGAACTTTTGAATTTTGAGAACTGCTGGAATTTTGCTTTTGTCCACTGAAGTGATTTTAACATGTAGAACTTCTCCCAATTCATCCAGCATTTCATTTTCTCAAGGTACCAGGTAAAATGAGGTATCTAAATCTGACCTGGGATATTAATGAACTCACTAATTCCTGAGGTGTTCAGAAAAGACTTCTTCCACCAAAGCTTCTGAATGTAAATTAGCTGCAACACTTTTAGAATATGCCTCAGTTAGTCCACTTACTTTAACCAATATCACAGCCTCCTTCTGCTATACCAAACTTACATGTGCTTCTGTACAGTTTAATGTCCCTCAGTAGCAAAAAGAAAAGCCACATCAACTTGAATGTTTCCATGTTTACTATCAGCATTGTCAAGGAATGTTACTTTTTACTTGCACCTGGCTGCCTCACCAGCTCAACAAGGTATCCTTATTCTCCAGCTGATATACATTCACTTTCCAAGCAGCGAGCCAGCCAAGTAACATGCTTGCCTCCTGCTATTCAGCCATTCAGCTGAAGAGTGGCAAGCACTAACACCCAACTGTTCATAAAATCCACAGACCAACAAGGTACAGTATGTATGTAAACAATCAAGAACTATGTAACAGTGACTGCAACTTGCATCAAGACAAAGATGATGTGTGATGATGTGTGCTTTATCAGAACTTTTGGATGGCTCCCACACAGAAAAATGGCTCAAGAATCATCTACTTACTGTCCTGAAGGACTATACTATATGATTATGTGAAAGGCAAGCATCAGCAGCCCAACAAGAAACTACGTTCTATCAGGAATCATACAAAGCTCTCTGTAATAGATTTTACTTTATAGGAAAATCTACAAAACAGAAATAATACCAATTTCATTAGTGAGAGACGTGGTGATATTGATACATAAAAACTAGGATGTTGCCTCACTGAACTGACAAGTCAAAAAAAGCACGAAAAAATTCTAAACAAACCTGCTGGAGCTACGAGATCTTCGTGAAGAACTATAGCTTCTTGGGGGCGTTCTGGATCTCTTCTCTTTCTTCTTCTTATCATCTCTCTCTTTTTCTCTTTCTCGCTCCTTCTCCTTATCCCCATCCCTATCTTTGTCTCTGTCCTTCTCTTTGTCGCCTCCTTTGTCCTTATCTCCCTCCTTGTCCTTAATCTTTTCTCTGTCCTTCTCTCCTTCTTTCTCAATATCTTCTTTTTCTTTGTTCTGGTCTACCTCTTCCCTATCTTTTTCCTTATCCTTATCCCTGTCCCTATCCTTGTCCTTATCCTTGTCCCTATCCCTGTCTTTGTCTCTGACTCTCTCTCGATCTTTGTTTCGCTCTTTATCCTTTTCCCTATCCTTCTCCCTATTTCTCTCTTTATCTCGCTCTCTTTCCAGTCTCTCTCTTTCTCCTTGTCTCGGTCTCTCTCTTTTTCTTTGGCCTTTTCTTTTTCCTTGACCTTTTCTTTGTCTCTTTTCTTGTCCCTGTGAAAAGCCAAACACAAATCCATTAATTCCTCTTTGAACTTTTCAATTAAAATTACAACTATCTCTTTAGCATACACTAAATGCTCATGATGAAGTATGCATCTCTGTTGAAAAATGGTAATTATTCAGTATCTTAATTTTCCACCCCCATTCACTATGAGGGAATAGTTACATAGTTAATAAAAATTTGGAAAATAAACTGGAGAAGGAAAGACCAAAATCGAGTCAACCTGTGATCTTCAGAGCAATGTTATTACACTTTGAGAGAATATGTCTCTTCACCTTACAGTTATGTTATTACACATAAATAAATTTTCTGCATTTAGTTAGGAATGAGATAAACTCTGTAAGCTGTAAATACACTCTTTACTGAAAGTGTGTCCACATAAAATAGACTGCAAATTAAACACCCCCACAAGAGTCATGAGAGCTGACTGATACAAGTTTTTATTCTACAGTGTACTCTCACACAGATATCCTGGATCTGCTTGGAAGTCCTACATAATTAATACACAGAAATAAAAAACCAAGGATAATATTTCACCATACAAATTCCCTCAAAAAGTGAACATAAGGTCAAAGTTCAATCAAGAGAACTCGGTCATCCATAATGTCATTAGGAATTCAAAATTATAGAAAAATTTTAATACAGTAAAAACAGAAGCAAGGGTAACAGAATAAGTCAGTTTCTTTGACACAGGCAGAATGTTATGTGTTCATAAGAAGAACAGGGAGGAAAATTCCTACGGATATTCTAGTTGTCAAGCCAAACAAAAATTGATTAGCTCACAGCTTTGTTTGAATACTACATTGTGGTGTAGAATTTTTTGGAAACGTGAGACTCCCATTCTTCCTTTCTAGCATGGAGATACATGACTCCTAAACCTGCCTCTAGGACACAGGAAAACGAACAATTGCTCAGAGAAAGAAACAGGATAAAGCACAAGAGAAGTTGATTAGTAGTCCTTTAGAAGTCCAAGACATCTAGACAGACAAAAGTTGTTGTGTCTATTGGTATTGGTACCTATTCTAGGATTTTCAATACTCTCAAAGAGGCTCCTTCATACAAGAAAGGTCCTAAGCACAGCCCCCACCCTTCCTTTTAACTGCTAATAAACAATTAGTTGTTGTATGCTCTGTATGCTCAGGTTTTCGCAAATACTTCTTAGAAGTCTCAAAGAAGGAAGGTAAGATCAAAAAGACGAAACAGCACACAATCCCTGCGATAGCAAAGATTCTCATAATGACCCAAGAAGCATCTTCAGTTTATTTATCCCCGATTTCATTGGACTTGCCCCTTCCAGTGAGCACATAAGAAGCTTCAGATAACAGCAGTTGAGAAGCAAAAAGGATCCATCAATAAATGAAGACGAGCTACCTACGTAGCCTATTCCTCTTTAGACTGAGGTCCACAGATCTGCAGTGCTCTTTCCCACAAAACTTTCTCCCTCAAAGAACAAGTGGCAACTGCATAACCTAAGCATGAAGATCCCTTTAAATGAATAAGGGGAATTACAGAGATGAAACAGGAAGAAAAGTGTCAAGACTCCTATTCATGAAGCTACTTTCATAAGAACTTTTCTGAATATTCACTACTTCCTGAGAAAATTATGTTATTATCTTACTGGAATTTCACAGTTCAACAATGAGATGATCAGATTTTTAATTTAATAAACTAGGTAAAATATAAATGTATTAGAGTGCAAATATGACATACAACAGACACATAGATTTGTGCTCACAGCAGTGTACAGCCAACATGAGATATCCAAAGGTGAAAATAAAAGCTCCTGCTTTATTTACGGTCTTAGAAAGAAGGATAAAGTTCAGCCTGAATCCAATGTTCTCAGCAGATACAGTAAGCATCACTCACTTTCCTGTGGGCTGCACAGGCTACATAGAACACTCTTTACTGATGAAAGTCAGGCAATTAAAGTTACCCATTTTTGGTCAGCTTGCACTGACTACCAAAATTTGGGTACCTCAGTGTGGTGGTTTAACCTCTGAAGGCACCATATGAGCTACTAGGAAAAAAATTAACTCTGTCCCAACCAAAACCAGTAAACTCAGCATAAAAATGTACTTTCTATTATTTTGCCCTGCAGACAAAGCCTAGGACAGGCTAAAGCACTTAGAGGATCCACCCTTTAGCATCACCTACAGGCTTTTTAGACTTTTTTAAAAACTCTGTTCTGTGTACTAGGAACAGCGTAATTTCTCTGGAATAGAACTCACCGAGAACGAGAGCGACTTCTTGATTTCCTCCTTTCCCTAGATCTAGACCGTTTTTTCAAGGGACTTCTGGATCTGCGTCTGTCCTTGTGTCTTGAGAGTGATCTGTTGCCAGATCTACTTCTATATGAATAAAGTCAAAAGAAAAAATACTTTAATATTGACGTTTCATACAAATTAGGTCAACTAGCAATAGGAAGAAAAACAAATCTCCTCTCACTACATAAATTATATGAAGAGTTACACCTCAGTAATATACTGCCCATCAATATTTGCAAATATTCTTGGTTACTTTACGCTTCATGAGGTGCACACGCCCTCCTTTGAAACAATGTACCATGGAAGTAATACCCATGTTTCTTAACTATCTCCATGAACAATCTGGAAAATACGAATTCTTATCACACTAGGGTAGTTTTCCTTACTAAATTACAGTGCGTAATATCTACTATAGACAATTTCTAGCAGCTTGTAGAAATAATTAGTTACATTTTGTTTCTCTTCCTGGCCCAGTCACTTACTGCAGTCTTGGTCACTGAAGAAAGATGGTTTTATCTGCTCTCTTTTTCCTTTGTTCTCCAGTCTTATAATTTAAATGAACTTTAAAAAACAAGCTATGTGAAATAAAAAAATCCCACTATCTGTGGTTCAGCATCAGTCAGGTTACCTTTTCAGCTGAAAGGATTTGTTAGCATGGATTTCAATTCTAAGAACTGTCATGGAAAGGAATGAGCATTTACTGTAAGATAAATGAGCAATGCAAATAATGCGCAGATACTCTAATAAAAACCCAAATAAAATCTTCGGGTGACCATATAGTCACAGATTTAATGAAGAAAACAAAAATTTCTAAAATTATACTCTTTTTTCCCAAAAATATTCCCTTTTTTTTGGAAGATGGTGCTCCGTAAGAAAGAAAAACCAGAAACCTAAATTTGTTTAAAAAAATACATGATTGGATAATTTGCCTGAGAAGTTAAGGTACCAGGAAGTTCAAGCCAAAGACAGAAAGGTCATGTATATTACTCAATAAATCCTGAAGAACACAGAGGTACAGTAAATAGCGGCTCCAACTGATTTCCACAGTGCAAGACACAATGAGTAATATATACCAAAAGAATAGGAGAGGCAACTTTCTTTCACCTACAGCTTCGCTCCGCTTATCAGCCCAGAAACACAGAAGAACTACACATCAAATTAATTACACTTGAGTCAAAATAAAACCTTGAATGAATTTAATCTCATAGAGATAAAAGATTTGTTTTACAGAACAGTAAAACAGGAAGTGGTAAGGATGGTTTATTCTTAGGGATGAAGTTGTCTCAACACATCAGACTGGCCTTTTTCAGCCTGTTCTCAAAACTGGCAGCAGCAGCAGTAAATTATTTTTTAACAAACCCAACCAAAATTCAAAATACAACCAGTCCTTCAAAAAACAGCTTTTTCATGAGTAAAAAAAATTCAAGTTTTTCTTCTAAAAATCAATTTGGTTTGTGTCCATACAAAATAATACTGAGATTATTGAAGTGTTATACAAAACGAAGACTGTTTTTCAGTTATATTCTGAACTAGAGAAACAGTGGAGAAGCAAACAGTAAGGAAGTGACCCAGTGATTCTTCTTGCATTAAAAAGGTACCTAATATTCTCATATCACTAGATAATATGTACTGTGATGATTCACTATTGCAGCATTAAAACATGTACTTGCATTTGTTTGGTACAATAACTCTCTCTGGGCAGCTCTTCTGTATTTAAAAGAATTCTAGTTGCCTTGTTAAAAGATGATGCATGAAAGGATGCAACAAAGCTGTTGCTGCAACACGGACAACACTCACCTTTTTGAAGTGTAAGCTATTAAATACATTTTTTTTCAATACTTAACCTAGCCAAATACGTTTAGATTGATTATGTAAATACTTAGAAGACATTCCTGACTATTTCAGGAGGCATTCGTAAGTGTCATATAGCAAGACTGTCCCATTCTTGGAAAAAAACCGTAATGAGTATACTTTAAGGGTGATCTAGTAATTTTATCTCCTCTCATATTCCAAAACCCATTTCAGAACTGAACAGATTTAGCAAAGCAAACAAAATCTGAAGAGTGAAAAACTGACCCTAAAGTTGTTTTCTTGTGCTTTTTAAAAACCACAGCTTTACATTTACAGTCCAGTAAATAAAAACACTGCATTTGCTAACTTGATGTTTAGAAGTTCAGGATACCAAGAACTTTCTACTAGCAAAATCAGCCAGCCTACCTGCTCAGGGTGTTCAATCCACAAAACATAGGCAAGTATTTCTTTTTGAAATACAGGTCACAAAACAGTATTATGCTACATGACATAAAATGTATCATGAAACCATAGAAATGTGTGTGTTCCAGTGTGTTTTAACTGAAAGTAATCCCGAAAACATTCAGAGGAAGAGCATCTATCCAGAGACAAAGTGCCTGGTTACTCTGATCTGCTCAGTGTAAGTTAATTGTCTTCTCTACAGGCATACTTATAACTCAGTAAGAAATCTCAGTAACCACCATCGCTCAAATAAACCTAGTATGATCTCCTAGTCCAAAACAAAAACCACACCTACCTGTGTTTTGAGTGCGATCTTTTCCTTCTAGATCGGGATTTTGAGCTAGACCTGGATTCTGAACGAGAATGGGAACGAGATCGACCGCCTTTTCTTTCACTGCTCTTTCCAGACTCTGAGAGGAAAAAACCACTTTGCAGTGTAAGCTCAGAACATTTAAAGATCCCAGTTAACAATCTGGCACAAGTGGAATGTACCACATATAGTGCAAGGGGCCTACTCTTTGCACATCTTCCTTCTTTGCAAATATCCTTCAGAAACATCCAAGAAAGTCATTGCATATACTCGTTGAGTGCAGCCATCCTGCAGCAGTACACATAAATCAGATAATTATAAACAGCTAGCTCTATTAGGAACGGGATTTATGTTGGTGCCACAATGCACAAGATCATAACATGCTCTCCTCTTGGTCTATTATCTAATACAATTACTTTCTCTTTACAAAAAAAAAAATAAATTTAGAGGGTATAATTTTGAAAACAAGCATAAAAGGTAAATAATGATTAGTACTTTCTGTATTTCCACTGTAGAAATATTGACGTTTTATTCCTCAAACACTGTTTTACAATAAGAAGGGATGGAGAAAACAGGTTCAGAAGTTTGATCCAAAGGCCAGGAAGTCAACAGAAACCTTAACAACGACCTCACCAGACTTCGGTTCAGACCCTAGAAGATTTGTTATTCTGCTGCTTAACATCGAGGAGATGTTAGAGATACTTCTCTTCCAACTCTAAAAAGCAACATAAAATATCCACACACCCCCCGCCAAAAAACCCTCAAGACTGCACTATCTAACCTATGACCTATCTATCCTAAGACAATGTCAGTAAGTAAGAAGAATGACAAAATCTCACTGTTGAAAAGAAAAAGGAGGATATCAACTGCAAGTTTAACAAGTTGAGAAATTTTTATACTCTGGCTTTGCAATTAATTTAAATTAGCATAAACCAGCACTGAAATGTGTGTCTCTCAACCCAACACCTTTGTCCTTGACCTAGTAACTCAGTGTTAACAGGGATCAGGGAATCAATCTGGATGGAAAAAAAAATCCCTTAATATGTGTTAAGTTTTATCCCAGATTCATTCTCTGGTCCCATTTGCTATGAGGATGCACAGTCTTGAGCCAGCATGAAAAAGAGCATAGCACAGGGACAAAATTAACCTGCTGCAGACAAGGAAAGTAAAATACTGATGCTTTCAGAACCATGCTAGCTCACACTGATCATGAAATTCTAGGTTTAATGGGTATTAGAGGAAAATAAAACAAAATATAAATAATTTTCTTGCAAAATTTTGTAATTACTCTGAACTTAAAAAACACCAACATTAAGTATTTAGTGTTTTTAAAACATATCATATGTACCTGAAAGTAAGACATGATGAAATGAAAAAGTCAGCTTCATTCCATTGCTATGTTATATGAACACAGTTTTGAGTATTTTTTTTCCTTCCAACACAATTGTTCACCTCAGAGTACCCATTTCATGTGTTTGAAAATGCCCTTAAAAGCATATGCAAAGATATATAGAGAATGTGTCTGTTAGCTAATAAACATAATATATCTACCTGGCTCAATAGCAGCAGATATGAAAGACTGGGCTTCCCTTACTCTCTTCATCACTTCTTCCAGTTCCTTGGCAGCAGCTTGTGGTGTCATTTCAGGAGGCTTCACTATTGCATTATTGGAGTGATTTATTCTAAATTAAGGGAAAACAAAACTTTTAACTCCCAAACACTTAAGAATGGAAAAAATGAAAAACAACTATGAAAGTAGAACACCTCAACTTCCACGAAAGCCTAAAAGTACAGCAATACTAGAGATCTGTCCTAACGCTCATCTGTTCTAAGTATGTGAAATGTCTCATTGCTTTCAAATCTTACCACATTCAAATAAACGTGGCACAGTATTTCTGTGTTGAAGTACTTTCTAGTAGAATCCTACGAATTTATTTCTCTAATTCAGATCAAAGCTTTAAGTTAAGGCCTACTAATTGCATAAACATCATATAGAAAGCTTAACTGGTACTAAGGACTTGGCAGATTCTTTCATTATTATAGCTTCCACTACCTCAAGATAAATGCAAATATACTTTAATCAATGCCATCCATATTCTCAGAGAAAGTTATGCCCAACCGTGACACTGGAGTTTACAAAAATGTTCCAGTTTGCTAACAGTAGGTCCACATATTGAAAAAATATTCAACACAGCAGTTTCCTGCACCTCAGAGTCATAAATGTGCAAGGATATAAAGAAATCTCTCATTCAATAATCATATGGATAATTAATTTCTTACTTCAGTGGCCTGTCTCCAAACATAACTCCATTAAAGGCAAGAGCTCGAGGCACAGAATTTTGATCTGCAAATTCCACAAAAGCAAATCGTGTTGGTTGCGTCTCATCACCTGCCATTCGCACAAACTTGACTTCTCCAACTTGCTTAAAGAATTCAAGTAGCTGATCTGCTGTTGTAGTCTAGAAAGAGTGGAAGAGCTTAGCTGAAGTGAAATATATAATGAAAACCACTTATCCAATATATTATGTAATCTAAAAGATACAAATTTTGGCAACGTATCTCAGCATTATTACGCAGGCAGCACATGTACAGCTATGTTTTCTTCCATTACTCTAAAGAATATACTACAACCTAAAATAGTACAACCACAAGCCCTGAAGTCCCACGTCCAGATTAAAAAAACACTTGCAGAAGATTTTGCACTGTTTAAGCAACTAACCTGAAATAACTGATCTGAAATCACTTCTTATACACCTGTGACCAAGCTATTGACTGTGAATTCTCATCATTTAAAAACATAAATAAAATTATTACAGGGCTTACATTTCATCTGTTTTTCTACTAGCTTCCACTCTGTTTTATCTCACTCAACAGTTTTAACAGCTACTTCAGAAGTCGAAAAATCTTTAACTATTTACATTGCTGTCAGTGAAAAGCAATTAATTTCAATTAATTTAATCAATTGCTGAGAAAACAAGGTTCTAAAAGATCTAACAGAATTAACTTTCCTGTTACAGAAACTTAGAGGTATTTATGCTAATTTTTGAACTCCCACTAGAGACACACCATTCCACCGAACTGTACTTAAACAGCTCCACAGTGTTGTGCGGGGTAGCTGTTGCAACTCAGCTGGACAGTTGATCAACACACACAATCATAATTATGTTTCTTGAATTCAACTACAGTGTGACTTCTCTAGTATCCTGCCTGAATGAATTCCACAGTCTGGTCTGATCTGACTGGCAGAGAATTGAAAAATTGAAACAGCACTAGTAACCAAAATGAGTTGGGATTCTTAAGGGGCCGGTTAGCTCAGTCAGTTGAGCATAGCGCTAACAACACTGAGGTCGCGGGTTCAATTCCCGCTCAGTCCCCATGTGTTGCCTGATCTAGTCGAGAGGTGACGTCCCCAGCGGCAGGGAGGCTGGATTAAATGATCCCTAAGGTCCCTTCCAGCTTAGGCCATTCTATTACTCTTTGTTTAAATTCCTATTGTCATCAACTAATGAAAACTCTTCTAACATGTAAGACTAGAATTCACAAATTAAAACTCTCCAGCTTCCCTTAGTATTTCCATTACACAAAAATGTGTACCTGGGAATTCAAGTTTCCAACATAGACTGTTCTCCTGATTTCGTCAATTTTGGATGGATCCACATTCCCCATAATTGGTGGTTGTGGTATTTCTCCCAGTGCTGTAATGTTAGGGTCCAGTGCTGCTGCTGGTATAGCCCCCAAAGTGCCAAGTGAAACACCGAGCTGGAAAACATAAAAACAGAGTATGTTTTGCAACTAAGCACTGGTAGGAGATACTTCACTTGTTAATACTTGTCTGCCTTACGCATTTCTGTAAAAATATATCTAATGAATGTAGGCAATATTTTAAACTCTAAGGTTCCAGCTGAGCATTTATTTTTAAAGAATAAAAATCTGCCTATAAATAACCTTCTCTAGTACAATTTTCTGTGGGCTCTTATCAAAAAGGTCTGGCCAGGGATGTAGTATATCAACCAGACAATACACAGGCTTGAATCTCTAACACATACAGTCAATCAAAATGAGTAAAATGCCTTCGCGCTAATTTTTTTGCCACGAGTATTAGGAGTAGATTGGGAACTGCTGAGCCCCTGCCCAGCAAGGGAAGAAGGGAATTTGCAGTGTACAGTGGCATTTTTTTTCTCTAACAGATATCAGAGTCCCTCAAAGGGACAGATAATGCACCTTTTGGACAAAGCAAATCACGTAAGACACGATCAATAACAGCTGAAAAGCAAATGATATTAAGTGTAAATCCTTTCC